GCAACTCCCACATGATTCAACATAATTAAATATAACATGGTCAAAATTACTTGACTTACTCAACAACATGGACTTGGCTCTATGAACTACTATGGCCGATGGCGTGCGCCCATGCGCTGCCTACGACTTTAAGCCATTTCTCGACCAAACATGACATTCTTATGACCAATATGAATTAACTGAACATGAAATAATATATAATGCTCAAATAAACATGGAGTGCTCGAAGAATCAATACTCGACATGACAATGAGACGTGGACGGCTACGACGTGCGCGACTTGCATAGCCACGGCTTTGGCCAATCCTTTGGCCAATAATCAATTTCCTTCGATCACAAATACTTAACTTACTATACTAAACTTAATACTAGTTCATGAAACTTAGAATATTCGAGGGTTGCCAAATGAAATGAACGTCACTCGGTCACGGCCTAACATGGCCTAACCGAGCAATACTTGGCTTCTTTGATCCTTATGACATGAATTGAACATGATGAGCTTAAAATGATTATATGAACGTGGTTAGAAGACGATGAGGACGTTACCTCCTCGAACTCTGAATCAAATGGCATAAGATCTTGCTAGAATGCTTGGCCTCGGTGGTACCGTGCGTGTGCGTGTGTGCTTCTTTGCATTCCTTCCTTTCGTGCGTTAGCTTGGCTTAATCATTGCTTACCTTATCTTAACTTATTGCTGAGTACTAATATTACTGTAAGGTAAAATTTTCCTCAAACACTACACATAAATAGGGGCCAAACTTTGGTGAAATTTGGGAGGAAATTTACTAGCCAATCCTCTTTCACCACTTGCTCAATATCTAAGGCCTTAGGTGTAAGTTTTGTGGCTTAGTCATCCTTTAGTTGGATTAGTCATCACTTAGCATTTCAAAGTGTGACACCTCAAAATAAAATTCCTCCTCAAATCCCACTAAGGCTACGACTTTTAAAAAAAATGATGCAAAAATTACTTGAGTTTACTATTAAAAATGCAGACGACATTTTTAAATGTTATCACTTAATAAATCTTAATTAAGCTACTCAACATGCTTAATTAAATAACTAAACATAATACTAATTACCAAAATTATTCCGAACGTAAACGTGACGTCGAAAATAATTTCGGGTAATCTCGACTGAAAATGATTAATTCCGAAAATAATACTCGACAATATTATTATATAGGAATTGAATACATGATTTATATTATTAACATGACGGGATATTCCTGACTGAATAATTAATTCTGAACTCATTAATTAAATAAACAAATCGGAATTAAATCTGGAAATTTATCCGATTGCTGAAATAATTAAACCGAATAATATATATCGACTAATAGTCGAACTTGGAATATAACTAACTGATTAACCTGAACTTGAACATGAACATGATTATTTAGTAACAAAGGCTAACTTAACATTAAAAAGCTAGTATTTTCCTTTATTACTAAAACTCGGGGTGTTACAATCCACCCTCCTTAAAATATTTCTATCCTTGGAAATACTAAAACTGGACGTACAAGCTTATCATAAAGCTTATACTTAATGATTACATGACTTGAGAATTTAGTACTGTAATACTGAATAATTGATTTGATCTGAACTGAGGAGTCATCAATTCACAATTAATTGAATTGTTAAATACTGCTGACTGAAAATGGACACTTTCCTGAAATAAAGTGTTCCACTGATTATACATGATATTAAAAACATGCTTTTTGAGTGTACTGATCATCATCTCCTGACTGGTTGCTGATCTTTGGTCTGAACGTTGGTTGTGGAAAACCCAGTCGTTGGTACACACGGAAAATTTCAGATATACGCACATGTACAAATGAGGATAACTAACAATATCGGTAGTTACCTTTCATGAACGTCTGCTTGATAACGCGGCACATCGTTCGCGGCACATTGTATTGCGGCACACCTGCACCTCACCAAGTGAGTGCGACACGCCTGCATACAGCACCTG